TGGTTCTGGTCCAATTAGTAGAATGTTTGCTCCGTTTCTAACTAGATAATTTGCTTTCTCATTACCTTCTACCCCTTGATGAGCTGGCACCCAGAGTAGGAGGACTTTGTTTTCTTTTGGGTGTATCGTGGTCTATTCGCCTAATTTGTTCGGCTTCTCCTAGGCATGCTTAGGCCAACTTCGAATTGAACGATGCTCAGTTGATCACTTTTAACGCTGCTTGACTATCAGATAAGATGGCTATTTCTTGTTTCCGATAGTTCCGATCTAAGATAAATGGTACGCATCTTTCGATAGCATAGATTTCTATCTGTAGGATGCTAGGGTAGTATCCATTTGTTCGGAATATTTAGTTCTCAACCCATATACTCCGAGCCCTGTTCTTGCATTGGTTTTGGAAATATCAGTATACCAAGTTATGGAGTATGATCTCTTAACTTCTGAGGAAACGTTTCTCTCTTCCAATTCTTTTTATTGCTCAATAATACATTAAGGTTTTTCTCAAAGTTGTACAGGGTGGGTCAAAAATTCGACGCTTTTAAATGGAAACAACCTTTTCTATAGGAGATAGACAAAAACTAATATCGGTGTCTGGAGCTCAATTTTTGTCAAAAACATGATGGTGAAAACCGCATATCGATATCTGTTACCGTTTCGGAGTTACGGGGTGTTTTTCAAAAATGTGCATTTTTAACAAATCGCTGTAACTTTTTTGCTATGGAAAATTTTGTATTTTTATGCAAACATTTCCAAAGCATCTTTTTACGTAGAATTTAATGGTTTAAGTATAATTTTTTTAAAATTAATAATTTAAGAATTATCAACAGAAAATTTGATTTTTTTTATATGGGACACCCTGTATATTTTTAATTAGCTGAAAAGAATTTAAAATTACCTTTCCAAAAATATAGCACACTTGATATTTTGTTATAATCCCCTTCGAAATACAGATTTTTTAAAAGTTCGCCACTTTTAACTAGTAGGCTTTGGACCCCTCATTGATGATATGCCCTTAATGGAACTCGAAAACATATTTTTCTGAACGCTGAAGTTATCAGCAAATTTCTGCAGCCAATTTCAAGAATAATTGAATAGCTGACCAAAAACCCAGCCGTTGGCCGTCGAGGCCGCCTGGAAGTGCCCATGGATCTAATCCTATGGATATATTTGCGGAAGAATAAAGGTTCCTTATTCTTCCGTATAATCTAGACAAGAATTAGAAATACTTAGCAGTTATGAGAGGGAATCTTTCACCCCCACTGAGTTAATGAATTCCGCGAGAAATGTTCAAAAACTGCCCCGTCTGTCCATAACAGAAGACGGTCGATATGTCGAACACCTGTAGCAAAATCTCATGTCCTGGTTTGCTATTTATTTTTATTGTTATGAGATATAGTTTAAATGTGTTGATGTTGGTTAAATATATTTTAAATTGTTATAAAATTCTGCATCTCTCATAGCAAATATTATTTTCGTTTTAATTGATGCTCACAGCTAGAATTTTTTTGCATTACAGCCGGTGCTGTTCAAAGCCTACTTATTTAAAGCGGGCGAATTTTTATATACTCTATATCTCGAAGAGGAATCGAGCAAAATATCAAGTGTGTTATATTTTTGGAAAGGTAATTTTAAATTCTTTTCAATAAATTAAAAATATACAGGGTGTCCCATATAAAAAATCAATTTTTCTGTTGATAACTCTTAAATTATTAATTTTAAAAAAATTATACTTAAACAATTAAATTCTACGTAAAAAGGTGCTTGAAATATTTTCATAGAAATACAAAATTTTCCATAGCAAAAAAGTTACAGCGATTTGTTAAAAATGCACATTTTTGAAAAACACCCCGTAACTCCGAAACGGTAACAGATATAGATGTGCGGTTTTCACCATCATGTTTTTGATGAAAATTGAGCTCCAGACACCGATATTAGTTTTCGTCTATCTCCTATAGAAAAGGGTGTTTCCTCCCTCTACCACCCTGTACATTCTTGGTATATCATCCACTGGGAGATGTGGTATTTTCTTTATGAAGGTGTTCCAAGCTCCTGATCTGACAATTCTCCCAGTACTGGTTCCAATAGTGAACAGTCTAATCATTGTCGCATTGGCATATCTACCGATGACACTGTGCAGTAGTGGTAGATCTAGAATGACCTCCATTGCTGCTGTTGGGCAGGTTCTCATGGCTCCTATGATACAGATACATGCCAGACCGTGGACTTTGCACAGGTTTAACCTTGCCGTATGTCAGTCAAATTTCATCTAAAACAATGATAAAAATAAATAAATCCATAATGGGCATTTTATCTGGTACACTGTATCCATATCTCTAAATATTTAGATATATTTCGACTCGTATAATGATTATTCTTGTTCTATTATAAACATAATGTCGTTAATAACTGCAAAATTGTTGTGTTTCGCCAACTATAGTAAATCATAATTAATTTAACTCTTAATAAGCAGGCTATAAAATTGAAAATGAATTTACCAATTTTGTACGCCTGCAAAAAAATAGCTCTAAAATACTAATACAAAACAATACTAACTTCGTATAATTTCTCTCGAGCTAAAAATATGTATGTCTTATTGTTTTTCTGAACGAATGAAGATTTATCTCCTTGAAAGTTGATTTACGTTTATTACATCATTAAGAAGACTTCCTGCACGAGGCAGTAAAAATGAAAAGCTACTCCCGACAAACACACTCCCTTGGCACTTTCTGCATTTGATCCGAGAAATAAAAACCAACTCATTTAAGGAATTAAATTGACTTTTTCAGCCGGGACAAGAAACGAAACCAATCAGAACTGAAATACATTAAGTATTTTACGTTTGTCTTAATGCCTTCTCTACACGGCGTTCGATGTTTTTGCCGGTCGATAATTAAAGACGTTAAAAAGTCGGCAATTTCGTTTTGAGGCCGACAATTTTTTGAGTGTGGGTCCCACCTTAGCGCGTAAACAGTGGCGTACATCGGCAAAAACTCGATTGAGGCCGTTTAGAAATTAACCAGATTGTTTTATGGCCGGTTTGTATACCTATACGCTCAGTGTTTTAAATGAAATTGAGACAATTACTACCGGTAATGGTGGACGTATTACTAAAACTGTCGGATTAATAGGTTGTTCGTTTTTTTTATCGTGGAAGTAAAGAGGTATACTCAAGAGATAATTAAGATTCACAAATTAACACAATGGAATTTAATAATTTCACTTTTTTTAAATTTTTTTATTTTTTCAGTTGCACAGATAAATCTAAACTAAAATTGAGTATGCTAGAGAAATTATACAGAAACGTTTAATTCATATTTTTGATCACGTCATTATTTTACAAATAAATATCTATGGTTTTTAAATTTATTTAATTTTATTTCTTAAACCATTTAAAAATTTTAAAGCAATTAAAATCTACTCAAAACAATTATCGCATTGCTTTAACTTTTTTAAATAGTTTAGATACCATAAAAGGAAAGTTAAAACCCCCAAAAAATATCAAAGGGCTCGCAAAATGAAAGCAATGAAATCCATGGTTTTAAATTACTTTGTTTTCTTAATATATCAAATATAGACTATTTAGGAGGGGGTTAATCACGGCGACCTTACTGATTTATTGTGTGTTCTCCTTTCTTGAGTTATAACGTGTTATAACTCATCATACAGTCTCAGAGATTTGACAAAAGCCAGTATCTGAGACGGCTCCACAGAGGCCAGCTCTCCATTTTCGACATCAGCCGTACCAAAGTTTATGACACGACCGGTTGTCGTCTCCGCGCACTTAGTGATAAGGTGCTCTGGGGTTTCCCTATTTTTCCCAGAGAATCTGCATTCGCCGTTGTCTCAGCTTTAATCTACTGAGGTCTTCGTTGAGGAGACATCGGACATACTTTTCGTAGCTCTAACTTGAAATTTCTTTACTTCAATTTCTCAATTCTTGGTTTCATCTCAAAGGTAGCAGACCTCCCTAGCAGATCCAGAGACAGTGTCCTGTTAGAAACCCCGTAATAATCTGAAGATTGTTTTTACTTAAATCAAGAAAATTCTTTGATTTTTGATTTTTCTAGGTGGTAAATTCTGAAAAACTTTTTTGAGAGTCTTAAACCGTTGGAGGATTCCCATTCCAGGTTACGGATGGTTCCAGTCTTCCAGGTTCTTCAGATCCGCTTTAAATTGGTTTCCGCATGAAAAGCAAAACGGTTCTGATTCAGATAGTGATGTGTTTGCTCCTTTTCTAGCTAGATCGTTTGCTTTTTTATTGCCTTCTATCCAGGCTTCTATCACTTGGTAAGCGGTGCCTAATTTGGTCAGGTTCTCTAGGCATTCTCTGAAGAATTTCGAATTGTTGGTTACTGAGTTGATATCTTTTAGTGCTACCTGACTATCGGATAAGATGGATATTTCCTGTTTTCGATAGTTCTTATATAAGATAAATTGTACGCATCTTTCGATAGCGTAGATTTCTGCCTGAAATATGCTGGGGTAGGTGCCCATTTTTTTTCTAATATACAATAATTATTTTGAGTAGTGTATTACCACTAAGGCTGGATGGGCATTGAAAGAACAAAATTATTTTAGTCAAAAACGTTTTCATTGAAAATACATGAGTATTTGACTGAAAATCAAACTACTATCTAAAAATGGAGAATATACATAAAATGCCAACACTGTACAATGTACTGAAATGGTTAGGTACTAAATGAGATGTTAATATATTACTAACCCAACCATGGATCGATTTGTAAGAAATTTCTTAAAAGGTACTGCAGACAATTGTAATTAAATTTTCTTCTCACCATATATCTCCATTTTACGTCTCCATTCAACCATATAATTAACTTTTTTATGACACAAGTTGATGAGCTTCGCTCAAACATTTAAAGATAGGATGTTCGATATATTTACCAATGTAGAAATGTCCGCAATGTTTTAATAGTTTAACTAACTGTTTTACTATTAATATTTGTATGTGTATTACTTATATTTTGTATTTATTTCAGTTGTCGACCAGGCTGGAGAGGAGATTTTTGTGACCAGTGTGAACCTTATCCAGGCTGCAAACATGGATACTGCAACGGTTCATCTTGGCAGTGTATTTGCGATACAAATTGGGGCGGCATACTATGTGATCAAGGTAAGAATTATAGAATTATGTCGTAAGGAAGAAAAAATATTCTAAGAGATGTTCAAAGTCATTGCTATTTTGAAATAAGTATATTTGTAGCTTGGACTTAAAATTCAATTAAACATAGCTTATTTATTACCAGTCGTTTGTCTTCGCTTGTATTTAAATATTCGCGTTTCGCCTCGTACAAATGCATACTGCCAAAGCCCGACTAGCAATTCAGTCTAGCCAATGTCCACAAAAAAATGATATAAATATTGATATTAATTTTTCTATTCTTAAACTAACTATAGAGATAATGCAATTTCAAACTCTAATGCTACATTACTTATTTTCCTATATCGAAAGTGTGCGTATATTCTGTAATGGTATAATTACATGCGATCATCCAATGCCAATACCATATAAACAATTTTTATTGACGTTGTAATTGTAACTGTCGAGAAATGAACTAATAAAAGTCATTAACGTTTCGCTGTTTTAGCTACTATTCATTATTTCATCATAGTAAATTATAATGCTACCCAGCTAGACAGAAGTGGGTTACGGAGATATTCGATATGATTCGATTGAAACAAGAATCTTAATAACACCTTACAGAGCTTAAGCTATTAATAAAATGTTAGGTCTAAAATTAAACTGATAGATTGTTTACAGAGTGGCAGATTCCCTCAAGACTTTATAATTTATTGATTAGAGAAAGGAAGCAACTTATCAGACAATTATAGCCTGGGTTTCTTTAGTATTATTTATTATGGACATCGTTATGGCAGATTCATTGTAAATTATAACTGTTCTATGTTGTTTAATCAGTGGAGTTTTTTTTTTCTGAGACCCTTCATTTTAATATTCCTTACTCTTCTTGAACATGTGTCCCCTTTTAAATACGGATTTTCATGCGTCCCGTATCCGACTGTACGATGCAATGACTAAAGAATACAAGAAGAAATAGCACCCGAGACCAAATTGTGACCATTCTTTCAAACAGTGCCGTGGCACATATTTTTCTTAACATAGCCGCTTGAATCGATATTTATATTTTTGATAAATGTTTTCACTACGCCTATGGTGTATCCGGCGGTATCATACTAATTAATTGCGAAAACAACGTATTAAAATGTTAACAAAAGGTCCAAATTTAGTATCGACGTATAGCACATATTAGGTACATATAATGTCAGAAAAATAATTATCGAATTCAATAAAAAAACGCTAAAAAGGTGTAGTGGACTGTTTATTTCCCTATAAAACTAACTCCTGGCTCTTTCTTATCATTACGCCTTTTACACTTTAAAGCTGAACAAATTACCATTGTAATAAAGTTTATACAAAGTTCACTACACGCAACCAACTATTAAAAATCGCTATAATTGTCGTTGATAGCCAGCTGATGACTCATTCGTTTTGTCCAGAAAAATGGCGTCTAAGGTCACAAATTCTGCTGCAGCCCGTATATGGGCGTTACTTGTCCTTGTATTCTTATTATTTGTACCAAATTTGCCAACAAAAAGTAAAGTTAGATTGGTCACAGTTGTCAAATCATCCGTCATCATACGAAAAGTTAAATTTGTTTTAACTTTCTTCGTTGACGGACAAAGGTTAATTTTTTTTCGGATAAAAAGTGGCGCGAAAACACTATAACCAATCAAAACGCCGCTGGCGCCGGCTGATTTTATCAAGTGATGGCGGATGCATGAAGATCCTTTTTAACACACGCAAAAAGAAACACTTACATTACACTATAAACTCAATTTCCTTGCAAATATTGTTTCTAATTTCACTGTTAGTTTAAAAGAAAAACAGGTAAAAAAACTGTGCCTTAATATTCACAGATAAAGCTAAACGTATCCTTTATAATATAAATGAGCCATTTTAGTGTAGTAGCACCATCCCACTCTATATTATTATACTTACACAGGCATAAAAAACTATATTCATAAAAATAATCAACCGTAAATAAAGTCTTTATTATATCGAAACTTATACAAAAGGTCGCAAAATAAAAATAATGTATGGGACAACAGATGTAGTCATTCTCTAGGACACTTGCGTCACGAGAGGGAGCCCCACTTATACAACTGTTGTAAAAAGTATATATAAAAAATACCTTTGAGGTTTCGAAAAGAGGGCCCTGGCCATTCATCAAAATGAGGGTAAAAAAGTAAGCTACGAGGGCAGATTCGCGTGCGAACGTACTACGATGGGTCCCTGAAGAATTTTATGAGGCCCTTTATAGCATGTAATAGCCGTAGTACACATCCGACATATAGGCTTGGTGCATTCTCCGCTAGTGCTGCCACCATCGGAGAATATCGGTAACAAATAGGTACACGACTTTAAATAGCGAGTGTACGAAAAATGTATTACATAGTTATTCTAAAAGTGTTAGGAAGTATAATTTGTGAACATTTTAAAATTAGAAAGTAAATATTTTGATATCTTCAGAAGGTCTAACTTGTATTATAGTTTATTATTCCAGCTAAAAACACTTTTTAGATGAGTTCAACTACTGTAGCGAGCATAATTTTATGCTCTGGTTTTGCTAGTGGGGTCATAATTGGGGCTATTTCGGCTATAACGACATTTTTTAAAGGTACATAATTATAATTTTAGAAGATGTTCACTTACTCGTTTAGAAGATGTGCATTTAATCCCTAGTTGATTAAAAAAAGTATGTCATTAATATTTTGTTCTGTCATAGTGTATGTCTATTTAATTTTTTGATTATGTAACGAGCACTTTGTTTACTCACTTATTTCCTCGAACTGCTTGAATCCATTTTTGCTTTTGATCAAATCAGTGTGAGAAACTATGAAGTTATAAAATGTTGTTTCGGGAGGGTTGAATATCCTGGAAAGGATTGAGTTATTGAATGTTATTGCACCCAATATCGACCTAATTACGCTCACCTTTACCCGTTAACATTTTTTCAGCAATTTTATTAACATTTGAAATTGTCATAACACAACTGCGACGCGACGCCTAGCTCAGATTCTTTTTCATTTATTTTTTACTATCCGAAACAGCGTTACATCACACAAACCTAGTACCTGAGTGTTTTGTAGCTTCAATAACTGCATTATTAAAAACTAAAATACTTAAATATTATGATAAAGCCACGATTTCAATATTATTTTAATGCGATCAACATGAACTGTAACCGGGACGGCGTAAAATACATAGCGAAAATTTCTGATTTCTGCCGTATACAGCGCTGCTGTCGGATTTTTTTTAAATCAACTGAAAAGCACCAAGCCTATAGATATTAATAAAATTACATCACTTTTGACTTAACTTTTTAGTCAAGTTAAAAATATATTATATAATATATTTTCCGGCCTTAGTTAGGTTATCATATAGTATGCCCTAATCAAGCTCTATTTAAAAAGCCGCACTATGCCCCTAAAACATCCGAACATCACGGATTGGTGAGCGTCGACAAAGGCGCACTTGATCACCGGACATATCCGCACCCCCGACTATTCAGATACGATGATACACACCACAATCACATTAAAACGATTATCTAACCCTTTAAGTGTGTATTTTTTTGGTCGTGTACTAAAAGCATGTGCTGTAAAACAGGGCTGTTTTCAATGGGCACAAAATGCTGGCGATAGGGTTTATATCCTATTCCATTATTTAAAAATGGAGCTGATTAATGCATTGGTTCAGTTGTTAAGAAGGGGTGTTGTGAATAAATTAAATTTAAAGTGAATTATATTGGTTTTGTGATGGCTCACATTTTTTCGTGCGATGTTTTTTATAATGAGTATTTTTGAATTTATTTCAATTTTTATTTCATATTTCAATCTGTCCAAATTATATTTATTTTTATTTGTTGTAAGTAACCCAACTTATGACATACCTTTAATAGAACATATAGGGTGTTTCAAAAAACATATGCCAGCTTTCGTGAGGAGATTCCTCACGTAAAAATAAGATTTATTTTCTGTATCCACATAGGTCCGATTCTGATTTGTTTTGTAGCTACAGGGGGTTAAACTCTTATCTTTTTTCGGTTTACAATAACTGTCTTCCCAGTGCTTTAGCAATTCGAATGAAATTTTAAGGGTAGTTACTACAAGTGTTACATATTTTAGTATTAAGTGTCGACAGATTCACCAGGGACATGCATATATGTTATCACTGGAATATTTTTCTAAACAAACTTGTGCTTTTTCTTTTGTTAGCAAAATTAAATAAGCCATTTAATGTCGATTGAAAGTTGTATCTTGATATGTTATCGATTTCGTTCTCCTTGATGAGATAAACGTAATTTTCGAAAATCAATTTAATTAAAAACTATAAAACTCATGTTCACTGCTTCCTAGAAGAAATTTAAGAAAAAATAATGATATTTAAGATAAATACCTATTTTTAATTTACCTAATAAGAATCCTATTTTTTAAATTTTAACATCCTGTAACTTTTAAACTATGCATTTCCGCACTTTGTTTTTCATATCAAAATTTTAACGACTATAATACTCGCAACTACTGTCCTGCAGTGAGACAATTTGCTAATGTCACTTAATATATTTCCGAGACAGTTAAAGATAGTATAGGACATAGGTAGATATAAATATCAATTATTTGTAGAATTTTCTAAAGTCTCCGCAAAAATTGAATAGTATAAGGGTGTCGCATTTGAAATAAAAAAGTTGGTATGACCACCGTTACATGCCACACCCTGTAGAAAGATTTTGTTGAAATAAATAGTCAACTAAAAATGTCAATCAAAGGGTCCAAGCGTTTTTTCGAACATGCTTTTATTTATTCATCATCGAATTATTTAGATATTATCCATTTAGATGATACACACTGTATATTTTCTCAAGTAACGTCTTGCTTGAAAAATTGTTCTGATATGTGGATTACAGTAAAAATATCTACGAACTTGTTATCCTTGTTAATTAAAATGGTAATATAAATAATAATAGTCAAGTTGTTTGAAGCTCCTAATAACAGATAATATACTTAATTTCCTTCAAATTAATACTGAATCTG